GCCTCCTCCTCCTCCCCGCAGGAAAATGAATTTCAGGCTCAGCTCTGAGGGTTCTTCTGCCTCTGCCTTACAGGAGGCAGAAAAGAATATCTCAGAGGCTTGAAATACTTGTGAGGGTTACTGAGAGGGTATGTCCAAGAAGCAAGATTTAGTGCAGAGCCTGCGTGGGGTGTGCAGGGCTGACTCTGTGCCAAGGGGCTCCAACCCCACAGACCAGAGAATCACAGAATCCCAGACTGGTTTGGGCTGGAAAGGACCTTAAAGCTCCTCCAGCTCCAACCCCTGCCCCGGGCAGGGACACCCTCCACTAGCGCCGGTTGCTCCCCCTCCACTAGAGCAGGTTGCTCCAAGCCCCTGTGTCCAACCTGGCCTTGAACACTGCCAGGGATGGGGCAGCCACAGCTCCTCTGGGCACCCTGTGCCAGCGCCTCAGCACCCTCACAGGGAAGAGCTTCTGCCTTATCTCCAACCTGAACTTCCCCTGTTTCAGTTTGAACCCATCACCCCTTGTCCTGTCACTCCAGTCCCTGATGAAGAGTCACCATGGGGAGAAGGTGGCTCCAGTTGTGCTGGCAAACACACCTTGGTGGTAGCAGTGACAACTGGCACATGAATGGGGGACCCAAGGTGGTTTGCAGGGCTGAAGCTGCTGAAGCAACACCACAGCAGTGCAGGGTGAGACTAGGGAAAAAAAAAAAGACCTCATGAGTCTCCTTCAAGCCCTTCACTCCCTTGAGTGAGGGATGCAAAGAGGGACACGGGTGGCTGGTGTGATCGCGCTGAGCAGCAGCTCTCCTCACCTCCACTATGGGACTGTTAAACTCTAATTCACTTTGACAGCTGCCAAATAGCAGCATATTATGCAGCATATTCCCTTAGACAAGCTCCTGAGGGAGCAGGCAGAGGGAGTGGGGCAGCCAGTCACTGCCAGGCCATGACACGGAGCTTCAGGAGGGTAGTTTTAGAAATGGATGTGTGTGACATGCAGGGAGATAAACAGCCCTTTGGTCAGTACTGGAAGCTTTTCCCCATCTGCCTGCAGAACTTGGGTAAAGAAATGAAGATGTGTAACTGCTGGGTTTGCAGTGGTCTCACCAGCAACACAAGCCTCTACCAGTGGTTTCTAGGTTCTAGGGTTTCTAGAGCTGGTAGGCGGAGGCAGGGAGATGAAGCTCAGAGTGCCAAATATAACCATTTTGTACCCATTTGTTTAAAATACAGCTACTAATTTAGGGAGGGGATGCTGGAGAGCCCAAGCCACCATGTACCTTCTGCTGTTGTCTTCTACCAAGCCCACAGCAGGTTGCCCTGGTTGCCTCTGCGCTCTGTGGTTGTCCGTGGAACACCTCAGCTTCCAGTGCTCAGTATGCTCAGCAGATATCCAGGAGGAGCTATTTATGGACCTATTCTACAGCCCCTGGAAGTCTTCACTGTGCGTCAAACTTGTAGCCAGCAAACTTCATATCCTCTCCTTCAGGCACAGGTTTATATGAAAACACCATCCCTTTATGTCTGACAACCCATCATCCCTTCATTCAGCAGCTCTTTGTCCTACAGCATCTGTGTTGTGATTCCTACCACCTTGCTGCTGGCCTGGGGGAGGAATCAGGATGGAAGAGCTGCGCTTGGCTTCCCAAAACACTTTTGCATGGGCAGAGTCTCCTGTGCTTCCTCTCAAAGTCCAGAGATACAGAATTGCTGGATCCTCAGCCAGTTCTTATAGAGACCCCCCTGGGACACAGAAATCAGTGCAATTTCTCTCTGCCTTCATTTACCCATGTGTAACACAGGGCTATGAGACAGCACGTGTGATAAGCACGCACCTACCTCTGGCTGGTAAAGCCATCTGCACTCACAAGGCAGCAACCAGAGTTCCTGATTCCATTGAATGTTGAATGTTTCACTTAAAAAAGGGGAAATTAAACAGCTTGTTACAGTCCCCTCTGTAAAACTCAAGCCTCAGAGCTTTGTTTGACTGTGACTAACTGAAGGTGTTACTCCGCTGTAATCCAAACCCGCTTCCTGCCAAGCAAAACAGAGTTCCCTGGAACAATGTGCCAAATGAAATGTGAATCTTACATACCAGCAATCCAGCAGCACTTCTGCCTCCAGACTCAACCAGATGTTCCATGCTTCAGGGTGCAGTAGACAAAGGGCAGCTCAGCAGAATGCACTTGGTTTGGGGTAAATCCTTGTAAATCAGGCTTGAGCTGTGGTGTGCTGGGGAGTGGGGAGAGAGCGAGTGAGATTGCAGCAGGAAAAGCAGGAAAGAAACGGGATATTTTGCTGAATTGACTTCAAATTCAGCTTCTTCCGTAAAAATTCCCATGTGTCACTTCCACACAAGGTCCTTGTCCCCTGAACGTGCCACGTTTGGAAGTGGTTGAAAGCTCAGGGCCCACGGACTGGTTGCAAAATAGGAGATTCTCTTCAAACATTATTGTCTGATACTAATGCAATACCCTGAGCACAGATGAACAAATGATTTCCTTTTACAACTGGGAAATGAGAGTAACGTACTCCTCCTGTGTGCTCAGCTACATGCAATCAAAATAGAGGTACAATTCCTGCACTGGAGAGCTTAACAGTTAAGACATTCCTGTAAATAGGAGTAGTTTGAAGCTCTGTGCTCCCTCACTTCAGGTATACAAGGCTTTTTTGCAGGATTGCACACTTCAAACAAAGGAAATTCAGCAGAATCCAGGGATAACTTGTCATGTTTTGGTCTGTTTTACTCAGGAGGAACCATTCCAAGAGAAGAGTGGAGAGCTGAGGGTGAATGTGGAAGTGGTCTTGGCTTGGAGAACTGGGCAGGGATGGAAGGAAAAGGGATACTGATGTGACTGAGGTGTCACCCACAACCCACTACCCTGATTTTCCAGACATGCACTTGGGCTACAGAGGCCTGAACATGGGTTTCTGCATTTGTGTCCAGGAGAAAACAGATTTACCTGCACTAACTGCATTACCTTAAGCGAGGAGCTGTGACCACCCCAGCCCTGCTGTGTGTGAACCACAAGGTACCTTGTACATACTCATTAACCACAGAATCATGGAATGGGTTGGGTTGAAGGGACCTTAACGCTCCTCCAGCTCCAACCCCTGCCCCAGGCAGGGACACCTTCCACTAGAGCAGGTTGCTCCAAGCCCCTGTGTCCAACCTGGCCTTGAACACTGCCAGGGATGGAGCATTCACAACTTCCTTGAGCAACCTCGTCCAGAGCATGGCAAAACTATCACCTCTAAACCAGTAAAACCTGATATACTCATCATCACCCATGCCAATCCACTACGCAGCCTGCTGTAACAGCCACACCAGCTTCTGCAAGGGTATTTATAGAGGGAAAGCAGCCATGAGGGGTTTGCTGCAGAAGCTGTGGAGGTTGGGTAGGTATCCAGTGGCAGTTGGGTACCCACCTCACTGAGCTGCCCTGGCAAAACACCCACTGAGGTTGAAACTGCAGCTTTTGAACCCAGGCTATGCAGCAGCCTTGCTTTTTGTTCTGTCAAAATCAATGGTATTAAAAACGTGCCTTGAAGAGCTGTTGCTGTTCAGCTTGAAAGAACTATAGGGAAAGGAAACTACTTAATAAAAAGCAGAGTTGTTTTACAGGCTTTGCTGGCATTTAAGGTCAGGCTATCAAAGTCTATCCATTACTTACCATGAGCTGTGTTGCTTCGTTCAGTTCATCCTATTTAATCAACAAACCCCCTTGGCCATATTGTGAACATGCAGGGTGAGGTAAACCAGAGCTCTTCCATGGACTCACTCCACACTGCGGCAACAAGTCATGTCTTCTGTGCGTGCAAAGATCCATGCTGTAATAGGAATAGCAAATGCCCCCTCCTCAGGGGAAGCTGCTTGGGCAAAGGGGCTTCACTATCTGCTCTGTAAGTAGATGGTAATGAAAATTAATCAGGACAAACATTAATTCAAGAGGTTTATTTACTTGTCAGAGCTCCTACTCCACATACAGGAAAACAAATGTGCACACACTACTCACAGCTTCAGCTAGCTCTCAGCGATTATACTGAGCTTTCCTGATGACTCCTCACTGGGTTGTTTAAATACACTTGCAAATCCAAGAATTGGGACTCATCCCTTCAAAAACCCCACATTTTATTAAATAACAAATAGTCTTGGAACTAGTTTTCACTCTCTGAACACTTCACAAAGTCCCTCTTCAAAGTAATTCACCACTTTTACAATATAGACAATATTATCAGAGACCCTGGTGCTCCCGCACCTCAATTAGATCTGTAATATAGGAGGGGGAGAAAAGAGAGAAGTTAATGGAAGATGTGGTCATGTGGCTGTTTGTTAGGAATAAAATCTACACCATTTCCCAGCTGAGAGTGCCTGGGGAAATAATTTCTAGCGTTGGGAGATACAGAAATTACTTTTTAATCAAGTTATAAATAAATAACTTTTTTTGGGGAGAGTTAATTAGAAATGGATTTAGAAATAATATTTGATAGACTTTGCTTTGTGGAAAGGAAACAGATATATAAAAATCACTGTTCCTGTTAGGCAGAAAGATTAGGTGTAATCATGACAAAGGCTTGGCTGGTAGTGGCCATCAAGGGTTGGTCTTCTTCCGCCCTGATGGGATTGGAGGCAGGACAGGTTTGGAGTGGGAGCCGGGCCAGCTGCTGAGCTGAGGCACATGAGAACCTGTCTTGGACTTGCTGTGTTTTCTCTGAAGATCGTCACCAGGATGTTCAGTCTCTGCAGAAATAAGTGAAAAAGCACTAAGAGGGTGTTGTAGAATCATAGAATCCCAGCCTGGTTTGGGTTGGAAAGGACCTTAAGATCATCCAGCTCCAACCCCTGCCCCGGGCAGGGACACCTTCCACTAGAGCAGGTTGCTCCAAGCCCCTGTGTCCAACCTGGCCTTGAACACTGCCAGGGATGGGGCAGCCACAGCTTCCACCAATCTTGTCTCCAGCCGAAAAGCCAGTATTTTGGGGGGCTCTACTTCTACATACGGAAGAGTAACTTTACACCTAAGCAGTCACTACCTTTAATTTCTCCAGAAGTTCATTGAGAGAAAGCTGCTGTATTGAGTGTGCTGCATTCACACTCTGATGAGTCTGCCACATCATATCCTTGCTTCTTAAGTGTGTTATTACCAGAAGCATGAAGAAGCTCCTCTATGACCCAAATAAAGCTACTCTCATTATAGTAAGATACATGTTTCCACCACTGCCATGGGAAGCCAGTTCAAAATATGTTCCAATATGTTCAAACCTTTCAATCTGTCCTCTCCATCTTCAGCTCCTCTTAGATCTTGGTGCTCAGCTTTGGCTTCTTCAGGGAGGTGAGCATGGGGAATAGGGCTCCGAACCAGCAGACCTTCAGCAGCAGATGCACCAGATAAGATCAGAAATTGTCCACTGGCAGGACCAGATTCTCTGCAGCTGAGAGGAGGAAATGATTCATGCTTTAAAATAGCAATAAAATAGCATATACTCCAAGCCTGACAATATCACTGATGCCGCAGTCACACCACTCAGTCAAGAGCCAGAAATAAATCCCAATACTTTCTGGTTACACAAAGCTTTACACATTACAAAACTAGTGCTAGCAAATGCAACTACTACCTCTGTCAATCTGAATTTACTGATTTAATCAATCACACAACAGTGCAGAAGAGGTTCATGCCACACAGTGCATCCGCTCCAGATCTGAGGTCAGAACTCAGAGCTCCTTGTTTCCAAATCCATCTTCAATGTTCTCTCTTGGTGAGAGAAAGGAAATAGGAATTGCCTTGAAGTGTTTCTGTAGTACCCCAGTGACAACACAAACCATGAGTAGCCATTTACCAGTGAGTAGTACCCGTGCCTTGGGTACTCTGACCTGTTACGTCTCTTGCAGAAAAGCCAAAACCTGAGTGGTCTGGCACCCTGACAATGACAATGACCATGTAGCTTGTTCTGGTAAAGACTTCCCATCTCCATCTATGTATACTATGAATTTACTTCAAGAAAAGCAAGGAAAAGGCCTTGATTGATACAGAAGGATCAATGACTATATATTTAATGCAAAACCATTATGTATTTCTGGAGCAGTGCTTAAAAGTGATTCATAACATCTCTCTCCATACATAAGGACTGTTCTGGTCTAGGTGAGAGAAACTAATCCATAGATTTATGAATCTAGGAGGAAGATTATTCACCCTGATCTTACCCATGGGACAGGCCGAAGTAATTTCACCCTCTAATTCTTGCAAGGAGCATTTAAGCTTGTGAGAATAACTGTGATTACAGTGTTGTGGGGAAAGGAAAGTATTTCAGTGGTATTTGAATAAATCCATACAATAAGAAGAAAGGATCATGAATAATGAGATAAAACAGTGAGGTGCTCCCACAAGAAACAGGTAATTATCTTGTCACTAGATAGATGTACTACGGAAGTCTATAGGAATTTTTCTGTTGCCTTCAAGGTAAAGGAGTATTTTATCCTGTAAATACTGAGTGCTTATGTCTTTTCTGAAGTCCACTGCATCCAAGGATGGTCCTCAAACACTCAGTGCTCCAGCCAAGTGCTTAACCCTAGTTGTAATCTCATTTTAGCTGCCTGTAATACTTATCAGACATAACTGCAGTAGGGTTAAGAAATTACTAGAAGTAGTAAATCCAGGCTTAGTATAAACAGTAGCTTGGACTCTTCAACAGCATCGATTCCAGTTTCTAAAAGGCTGACTACTGCTTTTTGCTTCAGAGAACGTGATCACGCGTCCGCCTACAACTAAAGGCTAAAAATAGATATTATATACATAGGATTAACCCCTGTGGATCTCTGTCTGCAAGTACTTGAATGCACTATGCTAAAACCCAGCATCTGAAGATGCTGAACAACAATCTTCATTGCCTTTCTCCTCAGCTGTCCCTTTCTTAAAGGGCAGAAGACAAGGTAGACTATGGAAATAGTTCACGTACCACTTGGCAGGGTGTAAAGGGAATGTAGGAACTCAGGCTTTTCTAGTACAAGTGTTATAGGAAGCATTTAATTTAATTAAGGATTCTTGTAAAGCTGCTTAATGAGAATGACATCAAAGGTAAGTGGGAAACTAGAGCTTATGAGGTCTCTGTCATGTAGATGTCCAAGGTTTTTGAGAGTGGTGGAGCAGAGGAGCTGAGAACTTGCCTCTCCTTTATGCTTTTGCCAGGTGACCTGTAAATGAGTATCTTTAGTCCTACCCTGACAGCCTCAGCACAGGAAAGACACCTATTATAGGGGAAGCAGGCATGTTGGGGGGGTTGGAACTAGATGTTCCTAAGGTCCTTTCCAACCCAAACCGTTCTACATGTCCTGACATTAAAGTTTTCCCTTAGTAATGAGCTGAGGAGTAAAGCACTGGCCTGCTACAGATACTGTTTAGATTCTGGTTGCACTGGACTGCCAAACCCTAACATACATCGTTGCACATGATGTTGTAATATTTCAGTTGATGGACACTTTTCATTTGATTGTGTTTGTCAGGAATAGAGATGTGTAACTCATTATTTGAGTCAGTTCCTTATTAAATGGTAGGTGAGGTTCTTACTCAACCCTCAAACTTGCAAACAGGTTTAGTACAGAAGAAGTTAATGGGAGTCCTGACATGGAGAATGTCGTCTCCTTTTCTTCTGTTTGAAAAGATGCTTATACAGGAATAAAAATTGTGGCACTTGCTCTAATTTTGTCTACTTTCTATTTCTGTCACCAGTAGAAATGAATGGAATAGGACAGTGGAGTGAGGTTTGAAGAGCCCAGTACCGAGGCAGAGTCCACAGACTGTATGTACAAGAAGTTAGGGAGAAGAAACTAGGAGAAGAAATGGAAAGGGACTCTTTAGAAGGGCATGTAGTGATAGGACAGGGGGGAATGGCTTTTTAAACTACAAGAAGGGAGATTTAGATTAGATATAAGGCAGAAGCTCTTCCCTGTGAGGGGGGTGAGGTGCTGGCACAGGGTGCCCAGAGAAGCTGAGGCTGCCCCATCCCTGGCAGTGTTCTATGGTTAAGAAGTTAAGTTTCTGCTCTCCAGCTCACTACATTTTGCCCCTCTTCTCTTCATTATGCTGTAACCAGATCGTTTCAATAACCTTACAAATACTTCTGCTTGGTAAAAGTGAGTGATGAAATACAGCAGAGAGGGACCCAAAGAATTTATCATTGCCTGTGGCGAGTAGCAGTGCTTTAAAGTACAGTCGTAAGATCTATTGCCCTAAAGGACTGCTACTCACCAAAGGCAATGATAAATTGCTGAAGCCTATGAGTGAAAACAAATGGCACCTCAGGCAAACACAATCCACACTTCCATGTGTGGGAGAGGTCAGCCTCCAGCAGAGGACTTCAGAAATCCCTGGAAACTGTCACAGTGCTTTCATTAGTGAGATCAGGAAAGACCAGGTCATCGTAAGTGACTTCCCAGGAGAAGATCATAGCTATGGTCTTAGCAATGCAAAGAAGCCATGGATGTAATTAGAATCTCTCCTGCTGAGACCTGCAGGTCAGTGGGCAGATGTCTAAACAAAACCTTCAATTTTCACTCTGGAGTAAATACAATCATTTCGCTTGTAAAGCAGAAGTAACAGACAACTGCAGGACTTGGATCCAACAAGTGGTAGTGACCTGAAGAATAATGCTGCTGTTTCCACACCACAGCTCAAGCTTAAATGAAAACTGCCAGATTTGAGAAATAATGCAAAATATCTGGGACCTGGACACAGCGTTGCCCAGTGAGATATGAGACTAATCTGCAGTCGCTGCTCTTGGAAAGCAGTACTTCATTCACTGGCTGTGCCTGGAGGTCAACACATTCATGCTCTTACCCCTTGATGGCTTTCTTTAGTTTACTCTTTCTTCCATTCCGAATGCTGACAGCATAAAATTGGAGAGAAAGAAGAAGAACACATTAAAGCACCTCAATATTCAAACGAGATCACTGCAGGCTGTACCACAATGCTTCGGACATGCGGGGGTTTCAAATGCATCTACACAACAGTGTTTCCATCCATCACCCCTATAAGCAAATTCCTTCCCATCTTCCATATTTCCCTTGCAAAAGGAGTTGACAACGTGACTCTCTACTGTTTTGCTGTAGGCCATGCTGCACGCATGGGAAATGAATCAGATTAGCAGTTTGCTTTTCCTCTCCTCACAGTTGTTTTCCCACTGCGTTATTAACAGCGCTAAACGAAAACACTGCTAAAGTCAAAACACCACAATGTGGCGGAGTGGAAAGACATATTTATTCCCATATGTGAAGGGTAAGACCTTTACAACTCACCAGAGCTTCACACTCATTTGAGTTATAGGTCTTGCTTCTTCCTGCTAAGGACAGATGATGCATAATCCCTCAGCGACTTATTCTCTCACACACTCACTCTGTTCCCCTTCAGCAAACTCCACTGTGGCACAAATACTCAGGACAAATGAGTCTGCAGAGGCCTGTGCTTTTGCCCTTTTTACAGCATGCTAATTAACTACTTGTAATTACAGTGGCAGGTAGTACATCACAGCGAGGGCACAGTCTCTCCAGGATAGAAAAGGAACACAGGGTTTTTTGCAACAGCAAGTTTAGCTCAAAGTTCTGATTAACAGATGAGGGATAAGGTGAATGGGCTGAAATCTTATAAAGATGCTCAGCATTTCTCAATGGTCTGACTTCAGGTGAAAAGCTGCTTCCTGGGTGTTTAGAAAGTTATTTAACAGTGATTTTTACAAGGTGTGGAAAGACCACAGTCTGGTGTGTTCAAATAGAGCAGGGAAGGTATCTCGGTTTGTATGGGATGAGAATAGGATACCAGACATGGCATTGAACCCATGATCCACTTCAAGTAACCAATGGCTGGCTCGCTCTAAGCCGTTCAACGTAGCTCATTCCAGTTGAAGCTTTCAGATGAGCCTTGTGGTAGGTTCTTCAGAGCGAGCAGAGCACGGCTACAAGCACACACCTATTTCCTAGTGTGGATGGGGGATCTGGCGTCTTACACTTCTCTAGGTCATGCTGTGTGGCATCCGGCTGCTTCTGTGTATCCCATCTGGGCATGGGAGTACAGCAGATGGCCAGGAGAGGGGAGAAAACAAAGCTTATCCAGGGTACAGCATACCCTGCACATACAATGTCACTTGCCACAGCAGCAGACAGGCTTGTTGGCAGCCAGAGCTCTGGGGTACTTATGGAACAGGACCATTAGAGTAAGTCACAGCCATCCTGTGAGAGGCAATGTGTATCTGCAGAGCCAGTCAGGAAAATAGAGCTGAAGGCCTAAAAGGCACTGAAGATGTAGCCTCTTCAAATCTTCTTCTACCTTCATGTCTCTACAAGCTTTAAATGAGATAGTTGTTTCCCTCCCATGCTTCAGAGCCTGCTTAGCTGTGGTACAAGTAAATGAGGATGTTCATCACTCATGAGCAGAGATGCTGGACAAGATATGAAGCATAGTAGCAGTAGCTGAGATAGTAAGAGAAGGTAAAGGTATTGCAGAGCTCAGTATCCTGATGAAGCCTGATGTTATCATGGGTAAGGTATGAATGTGAAGATCATGATATCACCCAGGGCCTCCTAAATGGCAACTATGGTATTCCTCTAAAGAGAGAATGAGAAATAATCCTGATAGCAGTATCTGGTAAATTTGTCTTAAAAACATATTTATCACTCACGTTCTGTTTTTATATACCTGGAACAAGTTTCTTTCGACATCTTTTTCCCTTCAAACCTCCTTTTGGTAGAAAGCTCTCGAAATTCCTTTTCTGTGTATGTGAGTTATGGTGTCTAAATGAAACCATTCCCATGAATGACAAGACTTTGGTTTATGCTGCAGTGACACTTGCTTAGTAAGGCTGTTGATATAACAGATGAGACAACTGCCTTAGGTTGGGAAATGGTTTTAGTTCTTTCACACTGCAGCATTAACCTTCATTCCACCCAGTGATGATCTGCTGTCTCAGAAGCTGAACTCACCGGCTCTCTGGATTTCTCAGGGGGAAGCTCTGGTCTTGGGTCATATTCCTTCCATCTGAGAGCAGAGAAGCATATATTGTTGGTTCCAGGAGTTGCTGATGGGAGCTGCCTGGTGCAGGAGTGACTACCAGGTCCCTGAAATGATACAGAAAGAAACCGAAATGCTTGTTACATGCACTTATATACTGTGATAGCTTCATTAGAGCTTAGTGAGTTCACAGGACCTGTTCAGCTGGAGGTGAGTGTTACTTCCTGTGGGAGAGAACAGCAACAGCTTATAGCAGTTGGGAGTAGTAATCCAGGCTCTGTTTATAGCAAATAGAGAGGAACAGTCACAGCTACAGTAGGAATAAACTCAAGCTTAAGTAGGGATCCAAAGTAGATTGGGTGAATCACTCTTCACTGAGACAGCAGTGTAGGGCAACTAGTTCAGATAGAGACATTTTTATTAGACACCCAAAATGGGGTGAGATTAATCCCACTCCTTGTGACTAACTCACAAGGTGAGAAGTTTCATCATCATTGCCATGTATAACACCTAAACCAAACCAGAGTTGACACCACTTTATTATTGCAGTAATTGACAGCAATATTTATTATTACAGAGTTAAACCAGAAAGCTAAAACCAAAGAGAATCATAGAATGGTTTGTGTTGGAAGGGTCCTTAAAGCTCATCTAGTTCCAACCCCCTGCCACGGGCAGGGACACCTTCCACTAGAGCAGGCTGCTCCAAACCCCATCCATAGGCCATTAAGGAACAAGTACACCACTGCCAGTTTCCCACAGGAAACAGAGAGGCTGGGATCTCACGTTGCCTTTTCACACCTCCTCATCTTGCCAAAGCAGGACTGTTCCCCTCTATGGGTCTTCTGGTGCTTCGGTGATGAAGCTTTCCCCACTCCTCCTCTGCAGTCAGTCCCTAGCCCAGTGCACTGCATTGCAAGACAGGTTTTTCTACTCTTTGCCTTTAAATTTCCCTTTCTTTGGTTTTTTTTCTTCTTATTAATACCTATAAATAAAGCTTCCCCAGTGTAAGGCCTCAAGCTGTAATTGTTTCACTGTCAAGCAACCGCCAGCTGGTAATGGTCTTTGTTTGTTATCAGCTCAGATCAGAATCTGAACCAATTACACAGGAGAAAGGGCCTGATTCCTTTAATGGCCCCCAGAGCCGAGTGCTCTCAGAAATCAGTTCTTGTAAATCCACAAGATGGAAATGAAAATAATAAGAAACAAAGAAAAGCTCAGCAAAGAACTTTGATGTACAGCACAGAAATACACCGTCTGACAGGGGAGGTTAAAGCAGGAGTCTAAAGGCTGGATTGAAGGACAACCATGGGAAAAGGGACTCTACTTCCTGGAGCAAAGGTTTGGATTCAGAACCTGTGACCCACTCTCAGAAGCTACATCTCTGTTGATAAATAGACATAGACAAACATGCCTGACAGCTATAAAAAGATGCATTTTTAGAGGTGTGACAGGGATGATTTTTCACCTTCTGTCTCTGCACTTCTGTCTTCTTTGTATCGTCTCTCATGTTTTGTACTATCATTATAGGTATTAAGGCTCAGAGTAGAATTCAAATTGCACCAGGATGCCTCAGCTCAGAAAAACAGGGAAAACAGACTGGAAAAGTTAAATAGCACCCTGTGAAATTTCCATACGTTCAGAACAATGTCCTGGTTTCGTCATTAAGAGGGGCATAGACATAGCACTGAAAGAGACAGAAGCTCTTCCCTGTGAGGGTGCTGAGGTGCTGGCACAGGGTGCCCAGAGAAGCTGTGGCTGCCCCATCCCTGGCAGTGTTCAAGGCCACGTTGGACACAGGGGCTTGGAGCAACCTGCTCTAGTGGAAGGTGTCCCGGCCCGGGGCAGGGGTTGGAGCTGGAGGAGCTTTAAGGTCCCTTCCAACACAAAGATTTCTATAGTTTTCTGGAACAATGTGCACATAAATCTTATGCTCACAGCAACCAAATCCAACCTGAAGAGTGTCTCAACCACAGGCAGACCATAGAATCATAGAATAGAATCATAGAGGTATGGTTTGGGTTGGAAGGGTCCTTAAGATCATCCAGGTCCAACCCCTGCCCCGGGCAGGGACACCTTCCACTAGAACAGGTTGCTCCAAGCCCCTGTGTCCAACGTGGCCTTGAACACTGCCAGGGATGGGGCAGCCACAGCTTCTCTGGGCACCCTGTGCCAGCGCCTCAGCACCCTCACAGGGAAGAGCTTCTGCCTTATCTCCAACCTGAACTTCCCCTGTTTCAGTTTGAACCCATCACCCCTTGACCCATCACCACTACAGTCCCTGATGAAGATTCTCCCTCCAGCATCCTTAAAGCCCCCTTCAGATCCTGGAAGGCTTCTATAGACCTTCTTTCTTCCCAGTTCTGGCAGTGAAACTGTAAAGTGTATGAATTTCTTCCAACTCGGAGAAGCAAGACTGCATGTTATAAATCCTCCTCTCAGCGCTGCCAGCTCTTGCTTCCTCCAGTTCTTTCAGCAACGTTTAGATGGAATAAAGAAGTTAATCATTAGCTAAAGGCCTGATTTGAAGGAGACTTCAACCCAACCTCTTATTTATTACCCTCAAATACACAGACAACTAGTGAAATTACTCAGAGCAAACCACTGAGTGTTGCCTGTACATTATGTTAGGCAATGAGACATCAAAATGACTTCAATTACACCTGCACACAGCCCCAGGCAAAAAATAGAGGCCAGGTTTTCAGTAATTTGGGTTTGAGAATCTACATTTATGTAGATAAGCCCAAGGGGCAGCAATAAATAAAATAGGTTAGATTCTTGTGTGACACCGCTTCTAACATTCTCACACTCAAGAAAACCGAGCAATATATTTCAGTTTGGATAAAAATGTGCAATGATGAGATTAAACATTCAAGAATCTTTTTAATATTTACAGATACACAAGAATTCAAAACACACCTTAGGAACTTTTTTGGAATGTATCATTTTTGACATCAGTTTCATGTATTTCATAGAATTTGGATTCATTCCTGACTGAAGCAGGGTTCTCATTCTCTGCTGCTAAAAACAAGCTGAGCTGCTTCTGCCCTCTACCATTTCTGGTCCCCAGCCACCCATTTACATTCCCAGTCCTGTCTCAGCATGATGCCAGCACAAAGTGGTTCTTCCTAATATGCAGATTGGATATTAGGAACCATTCCTTCACCGAGAGGGTGGGCAGGCATTGGAACAGGTCATGCTTTGCCTAGAAAGGTTGGACCAGATGAACCTTGGGGTTGCTTCCAAGCTGGTGTTCTATGATTCTATGAACTTCCCTTCTGTGAAGATCCATGAAACCCTAGGTGAGCTTTTCCAGGGTGAAAACAAAACCCCTCTCTGATGGGTATTTAAAACTTGATTCAATTCTGTGTAAATAAACCTGCTCAATAGAACAACTATGCACTAGCACTGGAGTGGACCTCTTGACCTACCAGGTTCTCCACTATTTAATTGCTACATTCCAGGATTCAGCTTTTCTCTCAGCATTTCAACCATTTTATAACATTCATATTTATGGCCCCTCTTGACATAATCTCTTGCACGGAATGGGATGTTGTCTACTCTTGCCTCCAATTCCGCTGAGTGCATCTATCCCTTGAGGCCTGGTAATTGCAAGTACTGATTGGGGGTGACAGGATTTGCTTTCACCTGCCTGACAGCTCTGCCAAAGCAGCCTGATACTTAACTCCAAAATCAGCTTCCAAAACATGTGTGTTGTGGAATAAAGGAGCAAAGGGCAACAAGCAGGAGGACTAGGATGAACAGTTTGTATCGCAACGCTAAATCAAGCCCAAGATGTCCAGCAAAAGAAAACATTGATTGCTATTCTTCTCCTCATTTCAACATAGTTTAAGATGAATGAATCAGCTACTTAAAAACCCTTTTCTACAAGTAAAGATCTGGAAAATGCATCATAATTAGATTAGATGTTATTTTATTACTTTATTATTGTTATAATTACTATTATGATTATAATTAGATTAGATATTAAGAAGTTCTTCCCTGTGAGGGTGCTGAGGCGCTGGCACAGGGTGCCCAGAGAAGCTGTGGCTGCCCCATCCCTGGCAGTGTTCAAGGCCAGGTTGGACACAGGGGCTTGGAGCAACCTGCTCTAGTGGAAGGTGTCCCTGCTCGGGGCAGGGGTTGGAGCTGGAGGAGCTTTAAGCTCCCTCCCAACCCAAAATAGCCTGGGATTCTGTGATAATTCTGCATCTGCGCAGAATTTGGCCACTGGGTTTCTACAGCCAGTTTAATTCAGTAGGGTTGTTTCAGTTGTTTAAGAGTCAATCTCCAGACTTTGTCATTGGAATGATTTTCACAAAACACATCTGGCATCTACAACTGGTGACTGCATTTGTACTGGTCTGATGTGGGCTGAAAGGAATGAACTTTTCTATCCTTTCTGCTGATTGCTGCTTTAGAGGCCTATGTGATACTTTAAATGTCAACACTGTGAGCCTTTTCATGGCAGGGAGGGAAAGCAAGCAAAGAAGAATTCAGATTAGGAAGATTTACAAGCAGGGGAAGGCAGAAGTGCCACAAAAGGTCAATCAAAGAAGTTACATTGAGATTCATAGACTTGTAACACCATTTTTGCAGGGCTGTGACTATAAGGAAGAAGAAGGGAGTCAAGGTAGGATCCAATTTCCAAAATAAAAAAATAAAACAAGTAAAAAATAAAATTGGGACGTGGAATCAGCTTTCAGAAGTTGTATTTTAAACAGAGATACTCATGGATTCTATTTTAAACAGAGATACACTGCAGCAAACAACCTTGTGCTGAGCGTGGCTGTGACTTTCCAACACTAATTACTAGTAGTGCTAAAATCCATGTGGGAGACTGAGCTGCCAGAAAAATGATCCCTTTCTGCTCTCTCAGAGAAGACACATGTGACAATTTCATAGTTTTAGACAAGTTCCTTGTGGATGGCTCTGCCTCAGACATTTTTGGTGTATATTTTGGGACTGCTACACTCCCAAGCCAACAGACAGGCGGTGTGTGATTTATTTGTAGGGCTAGACTTAAAAGTGATAGAAGGGAGAGTTGTCTCTGAGATTTGCAATCCCTGACAGCTTCTAATCATTCATCCTTATGAGCAGTGGAGAAGAAACCTTAAACAAGGCATTTTCCACTTTATTGCAAAGAGCTTGGCTGAAAGCACTCTACCTTTGAAAGAGCTGGACATATGCATTAGGTGCCTTCCCTGACAGAGCCTGACGTGCTGCACAGAAACGTCTTTGGAAGGAAGCTTCTTCCTGGTAAAGAAATATGAGCAACTTTAGACAGCAGCTTAAAAGTATATATGGTAACTTGATTGGTTGTGATACTCCTCTCTTTTGCTAAGACTCCAGAGTGTGTGAATTGATAGATTCTGGGAAAATAGCAGAGCTATATTATAACTAACAAGGTGCTAAATGTGATTCACCATCTACACAGACCCAAATTTGGGCTGAAACCTTGCTGGCTTTGAAAAATGAAGATCTTTACCTCCATTGAAGCTCCATTTCTTCATAGTAGTCAAAATGTGCAAGGAGGTAATAGGAAGAAATATCTTCAGAGAACTACTTTTAATGCTTCCCAACCTCCCTGTATGTTAGAATAGGGATAATTCTAGCTATGCTGTTGTCTTAAGCTTCTTTTCACCAGCAAGGGACTGAATACAGTAGAATTTGCCTCTGCCTCATCTTAAATACACTGTCTCCTTGCTCTGGCAATGCAGAAAACCTGCTTTACCAACTCTGTCAAGCAATATCCCCCTCCTCAATGAAGGCATTACCTTTTGCAAGGGTTAGTTAGTTAAAATGACTTTGTACAATGAACACATGATCTCAACTGAGTTTTAAGGGTGTGTTAACATGTGCTGTGGGACAATGTAATTTCTGAGGTCAGACAAATGCAGCGCTACCATGTGCTTAAAAACACTAACATGTAAATCACAAAGATATTAAATCCTGCTTTGTTATCAACTGATAGCCATTGACAGTTATCAATTTAATAGCTAAATCACGTGTCTGTAACAGAGGTGTTTTGTCATGTGTGAGTAATGAAAGAGAATATAGTTAATCTGCTGAATGCTCACATGATGCCTATTGTGGATTCCTTCACTTTCCTTCATTACTTGTGCTAAGTAAGGCTCTGCTTAGGTGCTCACCAAGCTTGTGTTTTGTTGTGTTTTCTCTTGGTAAAGATCTAGTTCTGACCTTTATTTCTGTGTGGATTACAGTTATAGACACCTTTCTGTTCATACCTTGTACAGGTAATTACAACCATGCAATACTGGCATGCTCACAAGGGATAAGGCTGCAAGGAATCACATCTACTGTCTATCCCTGAGCTGCAGATCCTGCTTCTTATGTTGCTTGTGGATAATTCACGTTAATTTCTTCCTATTTTTGATTGTCCAGTTCCACATGATGGGAGTGGAATGTGGTTACTGCAGTGTCAGCACATTATTTGGGTGCCAGAAGCACTATAATCATTTGCAGTCCCAAATGTAATGGTTTGGACAAAATTTCATTTGAAGGCCACAGACATATTTATGTTCTTGTCATTAAATATGGCCTAAGAGGAACCTGTGTTTCACCTGGAGTGTTTTACTATGTTGTCACTTCAGCTGATGCTGTAAAGCTTCCTCTGCATGTAAAACTTAGTGCAGTAAATAAGGAAAAGGTATTACCAGCCCTGAACAAGGAGAATAATAAGAGTGAGCTTTGCAGCCACTAAGTAAGTTAAAGCCAAGGTGAATGATGGCCTCCTTCATCATAAACCACTCCTCTCTGACTTGACAAAATGTAAACTTTCAAAATAGGAATAAAAAGAGATTAAATAAAAAGTGAGAAAAATAAATTGCAGGGGCAGGAGTGATGGCAGAGTGCCACCAAAGTGAGGAATATTCTGGCTTCTCTCTCCTATTAAACTGACAAACCTTGGGATGAAAGAACCCTTGGGGGTGCTGGTCAATGAGAAACTGAACATGAGCTGGCAATGTGCACTCACAGCCCAGAAACCAGATGTATCCTGGGCTGCATCAAAAGAAGTGGGACCAACAGTTCAAAGGAGGTGATCCTGCCCCTCTGCTCTCTTCTGTGAAACCCCAGTCACAGCACTGGGTGCAGTTCTGGGGTCCTCAACATAAGAAGGACATGGAGCTGTTGGAGCAAGTCCAGGGGAGGCCACGAGGATGCTCAGGGGCTGGAACAGTTCCTGTATGAAGCGAGGCTGAGAACATTGGGGCTGTTCAGCCTGGAGAAGAGAAGCTGCTGGAGACCTCAGAGCAGCTTCAGTGTCTGAAGGGGGCTACAAGGGTGCTGGAGAGGGACCTTCATCAGGGACTGGAGCGACAGGACAAGGGGTGATGGGTTCAAAGTGAAACAGGGGAAGTTCAGGTTAGATCTAAGGAAGAAGCTCTTCCCTGTGAGGGTGCTGAGGCGCTGGCACAGGGTGCCCAAAGAAGTGGTAACTGCTCCATCCCTGGCAGTGTTCAAGGCCAGGCTGGACAGCACCTTGGGTGATAGGGTCTAGGGTGATGCGTCCTTGCCCATGGCAGGGGGTTCGAACTGGATGATCTTAAGGTCCTTTCCAACCCAAACTATTCTATGATTCTACGAAACATGAAAATGAACAACACTTGTGACAGTTTTGGAGCTCTGTATGGCTTGAAAGGATGTATTTCATTTCAGAGAACTGAAAGATGGGAGGTTCTCTAACCATACCTTTCTCCACATCTAAGAGAGCCGTTTTGAAAGCCTGGGAAACAGGGGTGGGGGGGTTCTGTTACTTTCCTCCACCTACAGCACTAATCCTAAACATCAGAGGTAGTTATAAATACAGAGATAGTGGCAAAATTGTAGAGCAAGTCATGCCTGCCAAGCCATCATTCATCATAATGACATTATAACCCTGGAATGGAACAAAGTTTAAAGCTTTCATTTCTCTTTTTCCCCTTCACCTGTCATCGTCGCATAAAAAGAGCATTAGACACAGCTGCTTCATAGCCCCAGCTCCCCCACTGCCTGCAAGGAGAATGAAGGACTATTAGGGAGAAGGAAAAAAACAGGAAGAGAGATGAAGCTGAAGTCGCTAGAGGTTATTTGAAATCCAAGCATGTTGTTGAATGTGCTGATTGGAAAAGTAAAAGCAGGTGAAAAATGTGCTTAAATTTGATCTCTGGCAGTTAGCACTAGGATACACTCTGAGGCTCAGCTGAATGGGTTTATCCACTGCCACAGGATGGCGTTCACAAGTAATCTTCATTGTCCTTTTAACTGCATCTAAGTATTACCACTGAACAGGATCATTCCATATCTTGTTGTAGAGCTGAGAGACGATATTCAGCTGCCTTACACCAGTACACAATTGGATGAAATCAACTGGATGAAATCGTGCCTTTTGATGAGGACCTGTAGGGACAGGCCAAGGGGAATGTCTTGAACCTGCCAGAGGGGAGATTGAGATGAGCTCTTGGGCAGAAGCTCTTCCCTGTGAGGGTGCTGAGGCGCTGGCACAGGGTGCCCAGAGAAGCTGTGGCTGCCCCATCCCTGGCAGTGTTCAAGGCCAGGTTGGACCCAGGGGCTTGGAGCAACCTGCTCTAGTGGAAGGTGTCCCTGCCCGGGACAGGGGTTGGAGCTGGAGTAGCTTTAAGGTCCCTTCCAACACAAATGATTCTGTGATTCTAATTAGGACCAATAGAGTAACTCTGGTGTAAACTTGAGCAGAAACAACAGCTTGTCTTCTCATCTGAGTTTACCTGCCTCATTCTCCTCAATCTGCCTTAACTCTGGTTGAGGAAAGTTACCAGTTAAGGAAACTGGTAAATGTTGGTGAAATGAAACAGGAGTCTATTTTCTCTGGAGAAAGAAAGGTCTAAAATATTTTTTGCATACAACTAATCATTTCTGTCTAAGGTGAGAGTAAATGCTCCTTACCACAGAGCCCAGTTGTGCAGCATGTTTGTCTGAGATGCCTCCTGGGTAGCTTTCGGCAGAGGAGTCCAAGAACTCATTAACAGATGAAGACGGAGTAGTTCCAGTAGTTACACCACCAGGTGACCATCTTTGCTGTCCTAAGACCCGTATTCTGGAAGCTGGGGTGGAAAAGACACTTCTGAACACCATTTTGCTTACAGCAAGCAGAAAGAAACCAGTTAGTTGCAACTATCATCAGCTGGCTTTTGGCACAGTTCTGGATTCACAAAAGATAACTCAAGAAAGTTTTCAAGGATTGATTATAAGGATATATATTGGATATATATTGGATATAAGGAAGAAGTTCTTTACTGTGAGGGTGGTGAGGCACTGGAACAGGCTGTCCAAACAAGTGGCAAATGCTCCAACCCTGGCAGTGTTCAAGGCCAGGTTGGACACAGCCTTGGGCGACATGGTCTAGTGTGAGGTGTCCCTGCTCATGGCAGGGGGTTGGAACTGGGTGATCTTAAGGGCCTTTCCAATCTAAACCATTCTATGATTCTATGATTATATACTGCTTGGTTGTAGCTACCACAAGAGCTGGTGTTAAGAACAGAGGAGATGAGGCTGGAGATTGGTGGGTTCTGTTTCAGGGACAGTAAACTACTCACTTCGACAGTAAGTTAAGTATAAAGCCTCACCTTCAGAGGTGCAGAGCTTCACACTGGCAAAGCTTCAGTGGGATTTCTGGTGCCCAGCATCACAAATAATCAGTCTTTGACACAAATGTCCCTTTCCTCATTTGTAAAATACAAATAGCAGTACGTACTCCACAGGACTGCTGGGCAATATAATTAATAGTTGTAAAATACCAAGTTCTGGGGAGGAAAGCTGCTAGTGCAAGTACAAAGCATTATCAGCTCTGAAATGGATTATCCTTCTGCTATATAAAGTTTTATAAAACGAGAACTTATCTATTTTCTCCCACTATTTTCACTCTATACATGAGCAAAAGCTCTTGCCAAGCAGTTCATTAAAAACAGAATTAACAACCTATCATAATCTCCCCCCAACCAATCTTTCCCCTGCTACTATCTTACTAAAAATGTCCGCATTAAAGGCAACCTTGGGGCAAGTTTCTTAAGATAAATTATTTCACAGAGTCCATAACAAGAGATGATCTCGAGAAATAGGGTAGTTAAATTTATTTAAACACCTATAAATGAAGCTCTAAATGAATTTAATGGTGCAGAGTAAATTTAAAAGTTACTTTATGGACAGGAGAATTACCAATATCTAGTAGCAGTAATGAAGTTTCTGTAACTAGTGACAAGTCACTCACTGAAAGAACTCGGAACTGCTAAGGAATACAAAGTCCTTTAAAGGAGCTTTAGTATATAAATATAGATAATGAAAATACCATGATTATATAAAAATACGTTCTCTTTGATCATCCCCTTCTTCTTCTTTCCTGATAATCTAGTTGCGGTTTGGTGGGCTTTGTTGCCTCTCAGGATAAAACATCTCCAGTGTTTTTAAGACAAATAAGTAACAATATATAATAACAATATCATAGTAAAAAAAGCAAGGAAGTCTTTCTTCCTTCAATAGTTTAAGATTAAATAAGATGCTGCAGAAAGGTCCTCACTGCTGAAGCACTGGGATGCTGCAATATGTGGAGAAGCTTTTTTCATGTCCACTGGGAAATCAGTATTTATTAATTCTTTCAGGATACAAAATTACTTGAACTGATGAACTGATGAATTTTACTCTATCTTTCATTAAAATGTTCAGACATTCTTGCCGTCCCTTCAGCTACTTTTATTTGCAGCCTTCTGTGCCACACAGAAGGTCATGAATATTGGCTCTGTGTTACTCAGCAAACTGTTGCAATGGATCTAACCAAGACAGCCATAAACCATGGAGGCTTTTGGAGTTAGAGGAAAGAGTTCACATAAATGAGCTTCTTGCTAGTCCACGATGCACAACATCTTACCACCATAATGCCTGTGTCTTATTTCTCCTAATCCACTATTTTAGAGGGTGGTGAAGCACTGGAATAGGTTGCCCAAGAAGTTGTGAATGCTCCAACCCTGGAGGTGTTCAAGGCCAGGCTGGACAGAGCCTCGGGTGATACAGTTTAGTGTGTGGTGTCCCTGCTCATGGCAGGGGGGTTGGAACTAGATGATTTTAAGGTCCCTTTCAACCCTAACTCTTCTATGATTCTATGATTCTATTCTGCTTTCACCCCAGCTGGTGATCTGCCGTGTCTGGATTAAATTCAAAGGTTCCAGCTGAGTTCTCACAGGATGTTAAACTAACCTTAGTTATGCTGCCTCTGACAAAAGCGGTCCTCCTTTCTTCCTCCAAAGCAGGCATAAAGCTTTTCACTGCATCCTTCCCTCCTGAGCCAATTCTATAGTTCCATGATTTTGATCTGGGAATGGATCTATTTGAAAGTTGTGAGGTTTTGATTTTTTTCCTATCTTAATTTTTTGATGGAAAAATTCCCTGAACTAGATTATATGCTCATTGCAGGGGAGCTGGAGTAGATGAGCTCTGAAGGTCCTTTCCAACCCAAACTACTCTATGATTCTGTGATTCAAGCATTCTCTTAAATATACTGCCTATCATTTGGGTTTACCCTGCAGTGGACAGCCCCAAAAGCACTTGGAGGGAATTTCTAAGTTGCCTTCACTCATCTTACTATCCTGGTTTTCATATAGCTCTTCACGCTTCTTGCTATCCTGAGTAAAGTAAGGCCTCACTGACGTGGCATTTTCTTGCTGCTCAGCAGTTTGATAGGCATAAAGCTCTCAGACACGGATACATATCTCACTTGTGATGCACCTGGAATGATCCTCAGCCCAAAAGCATCCTCAGAAGAGTCAGGCAACTCACTCTCTGCATATTATTGCCTCAGGGCACACAGTGATGTAAAGAACCTGGGAAAATCTCCATTAAAGATTTATATCCTTGGGAGGAATCAGCCCAGGAGACCCATTGCAGAGCAGCACGTGGAGGTTTCAGACACAAGCAGTCTCAGAGGTGGCATCATTCGCAGATTTCGATTCTTGTAACAAATAAATAGGAATTCTTTACTGATAAAAGCAGTAGTAGCATGTGCCCAGACACAATACCTGCTCCTACTCTGCTGTTCACATCCTGAATGCTATCAGCGACTGCAGGTGGCTTCAAATCCAGGTAGTCCCTTACGATGAAACTCAGGTCTGTGAATGCCTCATCCAGTTCATCTGCAGATAGGGATATGCATTTCATGGCAGAGAGAAAGGATGCATAATGGAAAAGAACAGCCTTGCATCAGTACAAAGTTACAAATCACAGAAGTCTGACACAGAAATGTGTTTTTAACACATCCAGATCATCTTTTTGGGAGTAAAATCTTCATCTTCATAAATAGCACATTCAAGAAGATAATCTGAAATTCATCTCAGTTTCTGCACTCACCTAAACATTGCCCTTCTGGAATTTGGCTTACTGGTTTATTTCTTTAATGTTACATTTAAATTGCAAGCTTTATATGCCTTTGAAAGTAAGTACAAATACACTATTTCATACCACAATGAGATATTTCACCATCAATGTGGTGAACCACAAATATCACCTCCACAAAAGGGCAGACACAGAATAAAGTAGAAAAGGACACTTCTTTTCCATCTGCCATCCTCAATTCCTAAGCAAACATTTGTTTTAATAGACTATCTACTACCCTTTCATTCCTTGTTCCAGGTTGGTGGACTTGAGTAAGTTAGGAAGCAGAAGAGTCCTGCAAAGAGCTTTGCAAGGACCCTCTTCTTTACAGTGGGACATTGCCAGACTGCACATCAGTTGTCATTTCAACACTTGAATAAAACCTGTCCTGCCCAAGAACAACTAGCTCTGCTGGATCAAAAGCAGCTCTGAACGCTGCCCAGAGACCAATAGACAATTAGATCCATTGAATCTTCTCATAGGATAAAAGACTTAACAAGTGTTCTGTTGGGTTCAACACTTGGTTCACTTTCTAGATGGGCTTAAAGCACAACTTGGACGTAGTGGAGTAATTCAGTCCTGCCAGATGTCCAGAGCTTTTGGACTTCTGGGATGACATTAGATGGGAAAATCAATGACAGAATAGTTTAAACTGTTATACTGAACATCAAACCATTTGTCAGCCTTACTTTTAACATTTGCCAGTGGCTCTGCCTGCATAGCAGTTCCAGTCCATCTATTGGTGTGACCTTAGAAATCAGATTTAAAGTGTGAAAAGAGATTAACTTACCTGTGTAGATAATGGCATCAAAGTACCCTGGAAAATCCTCACTCATGTTGATGTACATGTCCACTCTGGAGACTGCCTTTTCAATCTCTGGTCTGCTGAATAATCCTTTCCTCCGCAGATGCTCCTCATATTTCGCTTTGTTAAGTGGTACTATCAGGATGCATCTGGGTTTAAAGTAGGTATTTTTCAAGCTACGCAGACCCTTTAAATCAGGCAGAGAAACAAAATGTTTTGTGAAATTACTGTGAAAACTGTACTGGAAACATTAATTCCTTCTACAGGTGTCAAGATCTAAAATGCAACAAAATAGGCAAGTTCAAGGTGAAGTGCCCTAAAGCTACATGTGGAAAGCATTGTAAAAGTAGTATAACTTTATTCTAAACACTCTTTTGAAAGAATTTTTTAGTCAAATTCCACAGTGATTTAAAACATCACGCTTCTCATACCCACCAGTTAATGGGGTTTCCCTTTTTTCCATCTATTCTGTTCCATCAGGACCTAGTTATTCCAGGTAATATATACCTGAATTTAGAGCAGCTTTGCTCTGGAGCCAGGCTGAGAGAGCTGGGCTGGGGCAGCTGGAGAAGAGAAGGCTCCTGAAGGGGACACCTTAGAGCAGCTCCAGGGCCTAAAGGGGCTCCAGGAAACCTGGAGAGGGGCTTTGGACAAGGGATGTAGGGACAGGCCAAGGGCAATGGTTTTAACCTGCCAGAGGGGAGACTGAGATGAGCTCTTGGGCAGAAGCTCTTCCCTGTGAGGGTGCTGAGGCGCTGGCACAGGGTGCCCAGAGAAGCTGTGGCTGCCCCATCCCTGGCAGTGTTCAAGGCCAGGTTGGACACAGGGGCTTGGAGCAACCTGCTCTAGTGGAAGGTGTCCCTGCCCAGGGCAGGGGTTGGAGCTGGGGGAGCTTTAAGGTCCCTTCCAACACAAACCATTCTATGATTCTGTGATATCCTATTCCTTGGAGTCCTTGGCCTGAATAAGAGGATAACCAGCAACAAGTGCAACTGGGAGGTGGCTTTGGCAGGAAAAAAGTTGTCCTTCTATTTCTGGGACTATAATGACACTTATTAGCCACCATGTTCCTTGGTTGGAGCATGCTCTACAGGTATTGGTGGCTACCTGAGCAAAGGCAAAGCACAGCAAACATGCCTACTCCAGCGCATAACTGTGTGTCAGAACAGCAGCAGCATCAGTGACTGGAAGTGTAGACTCAGCATGATTTAACTTTCAGGATTTGTTTCAGTCTCCTTTATCAGTGAAAGATATACTCCAGATTAAAGGGAATGAACAGCTCTAAATTTCTTGTCTCAGCCCACAGCCCATAATTAAAATTTCTTTTAATAGTGCTAAATCACTTTGGGTATGAGCCTCACAGAAGATAATGGACTTCGATACCTTCTATTCAGATACATAACTCACTGTTATTGTTTTTCATCTACTCGCAGAGTCCGCAGCGATACAAGACTGTGAATAATTACTACATGATCTTGAAACTTCATTGACAAAGGAGTTTCTCAGCTGTCTGTCCATGTAGCTTCAGTAATACCCAGTAAAAGTTATGGTCACTGCCTATGTCACTGGGTTAACCTCCTTATGAATAAACATGATGTTTCTTTAAGTTGTATCTCCTAAATTATTTGATAACACATCTACTTTGTGAAAAATGACAGCTTTAAAAGGCATTTTGTCATATTTAATCTCCTATTTTTCTTCCTCTGTAAATCTAGTGTCTTTCTGAGAAGACAATAAACACATTCAATGCCTTTCGCAATCGGTGGAGACTGAGGGGGATTCACAGTTTAGACAAGACTGAGGAGAAAGGGGAATGGAACTACACTGAGATTTAGTTATTAATTTGCTGTTTAAGATCAGTTGTGTAACAGGGACTTGAGAGTAGGATTGCAGCATTAAATTGTTGACCATTTGAGCAAGGAGCTACTTATATTTTAGCACTGACATAGAATCATAGACTCATAGGATAGTTTGTGTTGGAAGGGACCTTAAAGTTCCTCCAGCTCCAATCCCTGCCCCGGGCAGGGACACCTTCCACTAGAGCAGGTTGCTCCAAGCCCCTGTGTCCAACGTGGCCTTGAACACTGCCAGGGATGGGGCAGCCACAGCTTCTCTGGGCACCCTGTGCCAGCGCCTCAGCACCCTCACAGGGAAGAGCTTCTGCCTTATCTCCAACCTGAACTCCCCCTGTTGCAGTTTGAACCCATCAACCCTTGTCCTGTCACTCCAGTCCCTGATGAAGAGTTCCTCCCCAGCATCCTTGTAGCCCCTTCAGATACTGGATGCTGCCATTCTGTTATTTGTACATTTATATGCAAGCCAGTAAACATGTACAGATTTATATGAGCCAAAGCAGATTAAAACGCCTTACGAACACTAAGGTCCTTAACTGAAAAACTATTTTCTTGAACATCAGTTTCACAAGCAAAATAATCATCTTAATATTAATTAAATTTAGCTTTGAGTTTTGCTCAATTCTGCTTAGTCATTCCCCTAACTCTGGATGCACGACACAGGATCCTATGGTAGCACTGCAGTCCCCTACATCTCTCTTTTTATCTCTGTTCTTTTCCTCCATCTATCATGAAGTGTTGTAGTGTCTGTTAACTCACAGTAATCCCCCAGAGGTAGAGCTAAGTCCTACAGTGAAACCAAGCAACACTCAGTATCACATTCCAGGCACTGTAGAGTCTCTCATTTTGGAAGCTCATAAAGATGGAGCTTATTACGTAGACAGAATTTGGAAGGAAATGTATCCTGCCTTTCCTTTTTGTCACCTCAACCCCTCACTAGTAAATCTTGTTCTAAGATAATGAGAAGTAGATAATTAAAAAATGAGCTAAAAAGTTATTCTTTTGGGATTCTAATAGACAGGTTTTGACACTCTGTTTGTGACCCAGTTTCCTAACGCAGCATGACTTCAGAGATTCTACCATCTGTGCATGTGCACCTGACAAATCTCACAGAGGGTAAAGTCATCCCTCAAAGAGATTGCATCTTTTAATAGTTCTGCACAAAATATAGCCTCAGGCCTGCATTGCTTCAGCAGCAAAGGAGAAACGTGGCATTCTTTCAGGGGTGATCAGTAGGTGTGCAGCTCTAGACTAGTCCCACTATAAGCTGCAGATGGGTGGAAAGCACGTGGCTGAAAAGCTGAGGATACTGTAATGGTAAGTGCTGGTGATGTGGTGGGGACATGAGGCTGCTGAACACTGGAAAAATAGGCCAGAAACTGTTAAGAAGCCAGCAGAAGGATCCATCTGACTAAACGTGGGTGTCCATTGAAAGAGTGGTGTGGGTAACACATAGTCAACGGAGAGCTACTTGATACAGGCAGTAGAGCTCAATATGCAGTTCTGACCAAACCACCATATTTCCAATGACTGTAATTAGCCCACACAACTAGTTCAAATGTATCAGCAGCAGCTGCAGGCTGGGCAGAAGGCCACGGAGTGTCTTTTGTGTCACCAAGTGGATATGCCCAGGCAGCTGAACCAAACTTTAGTCAAACTGCGTGAATTCCTCTGCAGGATAGTTCTCACAGAATCACAGAATGGTTTGTGTTGGGAGGGAGCTTAAAGCTCCTCCAGCTCCAACCCCTGCCCCGGGCAGGGACACCTTCCACTAGAGCAGGTTGCTCCAAGCCCCTGTGTCCAACCTGGCCTTGAACACTGCCAGGGATGGGGCAGCCACAGCTTCTCTGGACACCCTGTGCCAGCGCCTCAGCACCCTCACAGGGAAGAGCTTCTGCCCCAGAGCTCATCTCAATCTGCCCTCTGGCAGGTTAAAGAACGACTCAGTCAAAACTGGTTAGGCAATTAGTAATCCTTACCTCTAATTCTAATTGAACACAAGTTGCAAGACCCTCTCTGGCAATTGATTCTACAGTGTCTCTTGCAAGTCCGTAGTAATATCCATTGTATTTATAGGTTGCTATAAACTTCCCCTGAAATTCAAAACAGCAATTATAATGACAAAGGAAATACTTTAAGGGAAAGAACATCCTTAAAGGAGCATAATCACTCTGGACTTCCGTGGTTTTATTCCCTACAAAGTTTCTCCCTGCCTAAACCATCAATGATAATGAGACCAATGGGAGCACAACATTAGCAGAGAAGAGCACGTAGTCATTCCTGCAGGGCATGTGCTTGTACATTGTTCATGGATAATAAAACACCAGTGTCTTGAAAACAAGCTGCTGACAGGTTACAGCTTTTCTTGGTTATTCATTTACACTGTAAAGAAAGCGAGATCTAAAGCAAGGGGCATCCTTCTTTTGACATTACATCAAACCATATGGCCATGCCATATAAAAGAGAAGATGCCAAAGAGAGGACAGAAACAGATCTGCAAGGAGAATGTATAATTGGCCAAGAAATTTCAAAGTTAAAACCTGACAACTGAAACTTTGCTTCCCATTAGTATTTCTAGAGAGACGTAAGCAGATTATATGCTTTTAAAATGAAACTATTTGATTACTAAGAGTTATCATTTAGGACCAGATCAGTTGCTTAAGACTGTGTTGGCTCCCCCATTTGTATATGTACAAATAATGAGCTCTGTTGTGGCTTTTCAAGCCAATGTTTTACTGCAGGCAGCAAAAGGCATCAGAAACAGTAGCTGCAGGCACATTGCCTTCAGAGAGAAACACAATGCCTTCAGGGTGAATTTGCTAAGCTTTCAAAGACTGTGTTCCCTATGGGGTTGCTGGAAGATTTGGAAATAACAAAGAAAAAAGATATCAACTATTTAAGGCGTTTTCTTCCCTGCACACACATATGTGCATATAGAAGTAAGTTTATTTCTACATTATATGACTGTTTAAATATTCTTAGTGACCATTATGCCCAGTTAATGGTTTCTCTATGTTCATACAAGACAGAATAAATATACAATGACACAACAGATTTGTGGTTTCCATCTATAAACTTAAGCTACATGACTGTGAGTGAATAAGCCTACACACACAAACTTAATATAATACAAATCAAAATCAGACCTGGACATGAAGCTGAGTTCACTCTGGGTGTAGGAAATGGGCCTACTAAGATACTAGTGGGGTACTTACTGTGTTCACCATTTCATCAAATGCTTCTTGAGAAATGAAATAGTAATCAAGTCTGTTTTCTTCTCCAAAGTAAGCTTCCCTGGTAGTGTGACACGGACTGGAAGATAGATGGTATAATAAAGAAATAATCTGGTTTCAATCATAGAAGCAGCTCTGGAATAGGAGGGGAGAGGGAGGGAATGGGAGAATGCTACAAATCAGTTTATTTTTAAGAAGAGAAGAAATATGAGGTGCAAATCACAGCACTAATGCTGCATGTTTGAAAGATCAAGCCATAAATACAAAAAAGAAGTTTCAATGTAACATTACATTTTGGTTATAAATCCCCTCCCAGTCCAGGGTAGCCTGAACTGAAGCTGTCACAGCACCCTGTAATAGAGAAATGATGAAACCATTTTTTTCCCAGTCATGTCAGCTTGTGGATGATATAAAGTAGAATCCTAAATATGGAAAAGGAGACTGAGAGTTAGGCTGAACTGAGGTTAAGAAAGAGATTATAAAGACCAACCTTTAAACAGACTGCTAATAGTAAAGGGGAGAAACAATCCTGAAACTAGGGAGAAAAGTGGGATACAAGGCAGGAAAAGTAACTACCTGCCACCACATAAGAACAATAGGATAAACCACAGATACATGAGCTTACTACTAGGATGAAACACTAAGAAAGCCCTAAACAAACCCCAAAACCCTCATTGTAAACCGGTTATAAACCATAAAGAAATTGTGCTGGTTTTGGCTGGATGTGAAATTTAATTTTCTTCATAGTAGCCACTGTGGGGCTGTGGTTTGGATTTGTGCTGTGGTTTGGATTTGTGCTGGAAACAGCGTTGATAACACAGGGATGGTTTAGTTATTGGTGAGCAGTGCCTACACAACATCAAGGTGACACGTTTGGTGGCATGGTTTAGTGGTGGCCTTGGCAGTCCTGGGGGTAGGTTGAACCTGGGGTAAAGGTTGAACCTGATGATCTTAAGTGTCTTTTCCAACCTAGTGGATTCTATGATTTGAAGGCTTTTTCTGATCCTCACCCCACTCCACCAGTGAGGAGGCTGGGGGGCACAAGTAGTTGTGAGGGGACACAGCCAGGACAGCTACCCCAACTGACCCAAGGGATATTCTACAAGATACGGCCTCGTGCTCAGCATATAAAGCTGGAAGAAGAAGGAAAAAAGGGAGGCACATTCAGAGTGATGGCGTTTGTCTTCCCAAGTCCCCGTTAAGCATGGTGGAGCCCTGCTTTCCTGGAGATGGCTGAACACCTGCCTGTGAAGGTTTGAGGGTGCTGAGGCGCTGGCACAGGGTGTCCAGAGAAGCTGTGGCTGCCCCGTCCCTGGCAGTGTTCAAGGGCAGGTTGGACACAGGGGCTTGGAGCAACCTGCTCTAGTGGAAGGTGTCCCTGCCTGGGGCAGGGGTTGGAGCTGGAGGAGCTTTATGAACCCTTCAACCCCAACCAGTCTGGGATTCTGTGTGGTGAATGAATTCCTTAGTTTGCTTTGCTTATGCACAACTTTTGCTCTCCCTGTTAAACTGGCTTTATCTCAACCCATTTTACCTTCCAGTTCTCTTCCCTGTCCCACTGGAGGGAGTGTGAGCGAGCGGCTGCATGGGGCTGGGGTTAAACCACAACACAAGTTTAGTCAATAAAGCAGAGCTTGTCAGATCTTCACCGCCACAGCATTTAGAGGGTGCCACTTTCTTTTACATCAGCAAGCTATGACAAAGAGAACAGTGTGCTACACATGGGCTCTAAAACTCCACTTCAAAGGCCTGATTTTCTTTAAGATATTATGAACGCATCGAGCTTTAAAGGTCACTCCTAAGCACCAGCCAGATGGTTTGAAGGTCCAATTTCACTTGATTTCTTGAAACACTTTTCAACATTACAACCCTTTTGAATTGCAAGGCCATGTTTACATTCCAACTGCCAGGGTTTCCTGCGTGAAATACATTTTTAATGAGTGGAATGTTTGAAACCTAAAGGTAGAAGCCAGAAAATTGCTGAAATCTCCCCTGAATAATTAAAATACAACTTTGCTTTATGGTTGCAATTTTCTGCTCTGTTAAGATTCTGTCTCTCGCCCCCTTTTTTTGTTTTCCCCTCATGCATAAAGCTTTTAGAAAACAAAATACTTGGTAGAAAAACAATGCTCTTAAAAAAACCCTACACAGTGCTTGGAAAATCTCACTTGGCTTTCAGTTAGTTTGTCATTTCCAATGTAGTCTTTCAAAACATTGTAGTTGCTTTAAAGAAGGGCAAAAAGTCCTTTTTCCAGTCATACAATCTTAAAATGTCCTTTCAACTTGCCAGTTTTATGACCTAAACCAGCAAGTGGTTACAATCTGAGTACAGAGCAGGCAGAAATACATATAGGCTTCTTCATCATCATGTATTAGAGAAGAAGGCTACTACTAGACATCACACTGACATGCAGAATATGGTCCTGTGATGCTAAGAGGTTTCATTCTCACATATGTATGTGCCCATGGTCCCTTTCTTACAATTCACAAGTGCACAAACAGAGACCCAGGTCCTACTGTGGCAATATATGTGAAACTATGGCCAAAGTCTGGTTGAAGATGAATGGATAAATCAGTGTAATAAAAGAGAAAATAGAAGACAGACAATATAACATGTATGGGAACATAGACTGGGGCTGAATAGCATGTGCTATAAGACCTATGAAAATCAGTTATCTTGGAGAATGGAATGGGTGGTAAGAGGAACAACTTGCACCACCTAACTTTAAGCACCAGCTAAACTTAGCCAGACTTCCTATCTCTTGGGCAGTGGAAGTAGGTAGGTACCCTCAGGGAAGTGATTCACAAAGGCTGAACCTCCCTTGGGAAGAGATAGTTTCTCTTCACTAAATACACAGGGAGCTCAGTAAGGATCATTATAATTCAGGCCTTTCAGATAGGGAGAATTAGTCCTCCCAGCAGGTGGTGAAAACTGAAAGGTGCCGTTTGCTTTGATAACACTAATCCCAGGATAATAAACTGGTCCAGCAACTGCACTTGCTTCTTTTCTTAGCTTCTGGATGCCCTCAGCACATGCATGCTAATGTGTTACATGCAGGTACATTACAGGAATTAAGAGAAATGCATGCATATCTAAACAGATGCTTTGGTTGAGGGGCATTAGTGAGCAGAGATAGACAGATCAATAAAAGGAGCACTAAATGACACATGTTTGTTTGCTGTTCACCTTTGAAAAGAACATGAGCATTTAAATAGCTTTTCTTTTAAGAAGTATGTGATGACTTCAGGCAATCAAGCCCTGGGAAGAGATAAAATGCAGAACAATGAACATTTATTGGTTGTCTTTAACTTCTTTATAAAGAGAAACAACCGCCACCAAAGCAGCAGCAGTTCTGGCCTGGATCACTTGGTGTTTTCAACTTACAGAGCAAACTTACCCATATCTGAAGAAATTGTTGAACTGTCTGCAGATCTTGTGAGTGAGCTCTCTCTTACCACAGGCTACAGGGCCAGCTAATACCAGCATGGGGTAGGGAGCATCAAGACAAGGTAAAGTGCTACAAGAAAGGAAAAGCAGGAGCTGTCACATTACCCACAAATGAAATCTATAGCGACTTTGTATAAAGCTTCTAGAGAGACTTTATCATCATTTCAACTCATCTCATCTGTCTATCACACTGTTCGCATTGTTCACAGTGTAGACAACAATCAGGAGAAGCATGTGTTCAGTTTGATATGCTCTAAACATAAAAATAGCACAAAATGCTGCATTAAAGACCCCTGGGTCTCTTTTGCCAAAGGAATAATGTTCTATCTACTATAATCTTCTCTGATTTATAGCCTTTTCTAAAGCTCCCTCTGCAGTCACAGTGTGGCTGGGATTTGTTTAAGAGTTTTCCAAGTCTATTGCAGAGCTGGTAATGTTTTAATGGTGAGGATAATGAGCCTAGCATGAACTTGGACTCAATCCTACAAATCTTTCCACACTCCTGCATGGAATCTTACTGACTTCCATGGCCTTGCCAGATGAAGGTGGCAATTTGTAAAGAACTCTTCAATTCAATACAATGAAAACCACTAAGATCCTTCAACTCCACTGAACACAAACAGCACCACAATAAAAGAACCCAAAGTGCTAGAAAAATACAAAGCCCTCCATTTTCTCCATGCTGAGCAGATGGTTAGATCCTCAGGTTTCCACTTCCAGCTGTAAATACTGGAATGAAAAGCAGTTGTGCACTTTTGAGTGTCCAGTAATTTATGTAGAGAGCTAAAAATGGAATGCAACTGTGGACCCTCATTTTTAAACCTCAGCTAGATCTTACGATTAAACCACTCAATAATATGTCAGAAATAGTTGAAATAGCTCCAAACCCACTTGTTTTTAACTAGTAAATAGCTTTAAATAAATTTAAAGTGGATGAAAATGACCTATGCGTATTTAGCTTCCATTTAATGTGATTTAAACAGATAAATGCAAATTCTTGAAACCAGAGTATATTTCTTTGACCTTTTCTAAGTAAGTAACTAAGAAGTAATGATAACCATCCAACACAAGCGTGGAAGAAAGAGATTTCAAAGTAATGGCTTTGCTCCTATTTTAGGATCAGCAAACCAGCTCTATTATCTACCAGTCTATTGGTATATAATGGGACTTGATGCTTCAGAAGCACTGAGATAATAATGCAATTGAGTCTCCTAATTCTCTATGGAGTACCAGCCTCACAGAAGACACAACAGATACATCTAATAAATTAAGAGGCTGGCTCAAGTGTGTACATATGTGCTGTTACTAAACTGTGAAATGAACCCAGATCCTGGTTCAGTGTTCCATCCACTAGGCTATTTTAAAGCAAGACAATAGCAGAACCCTTGGGAGATTGAAGGAGTTTTTCTTGCTGTGCTGTTTGGTGGCATTTATAAGACATTAGACAATATAAGCACAATAATTTTGCATAATACATGAAAAATTTTGGAGAAGGTAAAAATACATCTTAAAAATACTTATCTGAAAGTGTTAAGTTGTGACATTCTGTTCAGTTCAAGAAATATCTTCCTCCTGACGTGATTTTTTTGAGCTGTTAAGGCTGTCTTTCTCTTCTTTGACATTAGTGGTAGAGAGAAGCCCTGAGGAGGACTTGGGGGTGTTGGGTGAGGAGAAGCTCCCCATGACCCGGCTTCAGTGTTCACTTGAGCCCAGAACCCCCCCGTGTGCTGGGTGCACCCCCAGAGCGTGAGCAGCAGCTCCGGGAGGGGATCCTGGCCCTCTGCTGTGCTATCGGGC